TAACGGAACTATATTTCACTCTGCGGCTTTGCCACTCTTGAGTTATCAGGTCTTTCATACCATCCAAGATAAAAATCATAACCCTTGGCAGTCTGCATTCTGTTTTATGAATGCCGTCTGAGAAGCAACATCTCATTTACAATTGTGACCAGGAGCTAGAGTAATTTCTATATCAGCCAGGCACATCTAATAACACATAAATAATGTAAACTGTACGAGCAAGAAAAATAGATGACTTAGTTACTTAATCTCAAAAATGTTGAGGGTGTGATTGCAGTGCTGTGAAGCTATATGAATATTGCTCTGAGATAGCTTCAACATTCATGCAGATGTGCAGTTTTATGTGGTGGTATCAGTAGCATTTCAGGGTTGCCTTGTGCCCAGCAGCCTTGAGTCCCGTTCAGTTAACAGCCTTCATCTAGGCATAATATTACACGTTCTTAATGGAAGTTAATTGACCTTAGTGGGGATGGCTCATAAGTTTAAAATTAGTTCTGCCACTAAGGTTTTTGCTGGAGTGAGTCCAGCACTCCTTAGGATTGAATGCCCATACCCAAGTCCTCTATGTCTACTGGAGGGCCTGGAGAGGTGTAGGCGCTTCCTGGGCATGCTTAACTACTCTTGTATGGCTGCTGTGTACTCTTAAATGAATAGTTTATGAATTTCAATAACTTACTCAGTCCAAAGTAAATTTCTTTTTTCCAAGTACAACTTAAGAGTGCTCAGGAATATGGAGTGCCCTGATTTTTGACCATATACGGGCCCATGTAGTTAAAAAAAAAAAAAAAAAAAAAGTGTATTATCTCTCTCACCACTTACTGCGGAAGTCTCCTGGAGTGAGTCAGATGCTGCAAGTCTAGAAATTTCTTTATGATGGACATTTTGACTTTTTTCCTTTTTTTTTTTTTTTTTTAATACTAGAGAAAAGGAACGGAAATAAAAGCTAGAATTATAATTAAGATCAGTTGCTGAAGCTGAAAGAGACAGCACAATTGTAATTTGTTAGAAGATTGCCTTGTTTTAGAGAAAGTGCTGATTAAGATCAAATTTATCTTGAGTTTACATTTTGATTGGACCTAGGCTGAGGGGAGGGAGTTATATTTCAGACACAGTGCAAATGATGCATGTTAATATCCTGTGTTTATTGCCACTTGAAATTAGAGCATAGCTTTGAATTGCTGCCAAATCTACAGTTAAGACTCCCTGGTAATCACTATGATTATTTCAAGTCTTCATGGTAATAGTGGGAAGAAGAAGTATGATACCCAAGCTACTGTAGCCTTTGCTGTCAGTGTCTTTTTATCCTTTGGGCTCAGATTGTGATTCCACCCAGTAGAGGGAGCAGACAGACATATATGTTGACCAATCAATCCTGAAAGAGAGATTAAATATAAATGGTTTTAATCACATTATTTTCAGATTTATTTGGCTTCTTATATTTCTTCCTGCTTCACTATGTTTTTCTGAAACAAGAAAAAGCATGGCTTTCCTTAATTGTTGGGATGCTTTAGTTTATATGTTGACTTGGTTAACTATTTTTTTATAAGAAATATTTTTTGCATTCCTCTCTGTTGATCTACAGAATCCTTTTATTCACATGCTTGATAATCCATGGGTTATGTTCTCACCTTCAAATATTCTACTTACATTCAACTATTGGAAGTTGTAGATTTACATCTGATCTAAATATATACACATTTATTATTGTGGTCTGTTTAACTGATGGGAAATTAAGAAGTGAGATTAGGGATAAACAGCACAATATTAAGCTCAATTTTGTTTAAAAAAGAAAAGAAAAGAAACCTAAGAGTTTGACAGGAAAGAGAAATGTCATGTTAAAAAAAGTTTAAAAGAAGCTTAAGTGAGGTTTAGATGTGATTAAAATTTGTTCTGGTTTTTGGATACTAAATTATTCAAGCAAATAGCTGTTTATTCTGAGTTAAAACCCTCAGCACTTCTAGTCAGCACTCTCCAGATAGTATGTCCCAGTTGCATCACTTCATCAGTTGCTAGCAGGAAGGTTTGGGTATTTTTTGTACTTACAAAGTAAATAAAACGTTATGGAAAGCATTTAATGTGGGTACAATATTTACTCTGGAATATTTTCCTAAATAAGTAGTGCTAGCTAGCAGGCAAGTCTGAGCACCCAGTGCGTTAGCTGTGGGGAGCAATTCTGTATGCTTGGCACAAAATCACCAGTTTAAACTATGGAAATATAAATCAGAACACTGAGTGAAGTTCAAAAATATTTCATTAAATGAACTGTGATATGTGTGTAGGTAAGGATATAGTAAGGGACTCTGCCATGTATGCTTAAATATCTACAATCTTTAGGCTATATTTTTTCTCACAGATTTAACTCTGAAAGATGCATAATATTTTTTTTAAGGACACCATTAGCAATTCTCACAGTGCGTTTTCATTTCATTATATCTAACACTTTTCCTCAGACTTCAGTTTCAAGAACGATCTTCTTTGAAAGTTGCTTTCTTGGTCCTCATTATGGATGAGAAACAGACATATCTATACTCAATGTTCATCAACCGTGACAGCTGCTCCCATATTTATAAAATTAATTCCTTTATTATTTTGAAACCAATCTTTGGGTATTTTTGTGATCATAAAATTTACTGGGCCAAAAAAAAGGAAAGCAGGTCAGTAACACTGTAGTCTCTGGACTGTAGTCACTCTAAACGGTAGTCTGGTTGTTATTCTCTTTAGGTGCAATTTATACCTTTTCTGGGGTGTATGCTATAGTTATTTGTCTTAGTTGTATACGTTGTTAAAGAAATAATCAGGAGAAAATGAAGATATTGACATTTATGGAAATTATTTGGACTAGCAGACACTATACAAAGGAATTAATCTTTCTACATGGAATTAGTCCCATACTGAATCTAGTGATGCAGCATGGAAGAACTTGGACTTGCTGCAAGCTATGCATGAGTCTCAGGAGCAGTCTTGTGCACACATTAACAAACTTCAGCAGGATTTGTGGAACTGTTATTGCAGCCTTCCTTGTAGAGTTTGCTTGACCCTTTTACACAGAACTGTGCGTTTTTTTTTTTTGTTATCTGGTCAGAAACCAATGAGATTGAGCATTAGGTAGCTCAGGTAACATGCTGACAGTTTGAATTCTTTTATTTCCAAGAAAAATTAGATGCTTTGAGCCTGAGTTGCAGTTGGCAGTATAGCAAGGAAAGTATACATCTCCACACTGGGCATAAGTATTTCTCTGCACTTTGTGATGCAAGCAAAGGTGTAGGGAAGCACATTGTAGCCACATTCAACTTCAGTCTGGTGTCATGCCTCTGCAGAAAACTGCTGAATGAACATGTTACAAGAATCTTTAAATGCAGTATACACTAATAAATTAAACAGATACTGTTTGAAGAGTTTACCAAGGATAAAGGAAGCCATTACATGCAGTAGGAATAAGAGACGGTTCTTGTGAAAATGTCATTTTTAAAGACCTTACAATAAAAATGACACATTTTCATACTCTTGGGTAAAGTTATAATTAAAAATATGGAAAATCTTGGGAAGGTTATGGGCTATTATGCTCTTCTGACTGACCTAGTCACACAGCTAATCACTGCAGTTTTGGCTTAATGAATGCATTAGCATGGGGTCTCAGAGACGGACCATGGATCCTGAAGTATGTGTAACTTTCTAGTTCAGCAATCTATTTCAATATGTGATATATGAAAGCTATGCAGAAATTTGTGAAACTGTGTATGTGTTTCAAGTACAAGTGCTCATGCATCCTTAAGTATTCAGTTTTACCCCCAAGCAGTAGCAGTAAAAGCCTCAACCATTTGCTGTATCTGTGCAATTCATTAAAAAATTCATTTTTTTGAACTTCAACTTCACCCTAAAAAGATGACTACATAAAAATTGTGCATTTTTTTCTAATGTATTTACTTCTCTGTATTCACATTATTGTAATCCTGTTTGCATAACTAGTTGCCATTTAGCTCTGTTAGCAAGTTGCAGGCACTATATAGCAGTGATCAGGATTCTGTGACATTTGCTGAATATTTTAAACATGTTTTGATTCTAAGATTATTACTGTTTTATTGTTTTTAAAAGAGTGAGCTAAATAGAGCCCAGCTGTCCTTTTGAAAATTCATGTTTTGTTTGTTGGCTGTCAGTTAATAAGGGCACCTTTTCACTTGCAAATGGGGTACATTTGGTCTGGGAGAGACGATAAAAATGGATCTCCACATTGGCATTTTTTAGAACTGTGCTGTAACACACTGAGCAACTACAAAAGGTGAAGAAGTTAAAAAGAATGCAGTTTTGATTAAATTATATGAGGAGAATTTCCTTGTTTCTGAAAGCCTGACACAAATTTCACACAAGAAAACAGCTCAAATTATTACTGTGTTTGAAGTAAGGTATTATCTGAACATGTGAAGGAAATGCAAATAATTGATTGGCTTATATTTCTGCACCAAAGTGAATTTCCCTTTTATCCAAAACATGGAGGAGAATGGTGAAGCAATGGAAATATTTTATAACGTAGTTCTTTCTTGTGGTGATTTTTATATAACTATAGCGGAGATTATTTTTATATTTAGTATTTATAAAGGTAGCCTCACTAGATAAAGTGATGTATTTATATGGGCGTATTAAATCCTTACTAATATTAGATCTTTTTTGGTTAGTCTCAAGATTTTCTCTTGTAGCTTCATGAACCTTGCATGAGAATGAAGATCTAAGACAATCATTTTGAGTAGAGATGAGAATTGTGATCAGTTTGGTGTGATTTGCAAGAGAAACTATAGAGTTTAAGATTCACAGATTAGGTCAGGGAAGATTAATACGATCTTGCTGTCCCAACATCTTAAGATGCCTTTGACTTTCTTTTCCATAGGATTTTGATAGATAAGGTGTGTACAAATTCTGACATTTCAAGAATAAAAATAAGGCTTTGTTTTCTGTTTTAGAGAAAACAGTCTTCTGAGTCAATGTTTGTTGTCATTTTTGTCTTTTAGATCATTCTTGTAAGCTCTTCTCATAATGACCGTGACCAAAGCCTTTTCATAAGCACGGATGAAGGAGCTACTTTCCAGAAACAACCTATTACTTTTTTTGTGGAAACTCTCCTTTTTCACCCAAAAGAAGAAGACAAGGTGCTTGCTTACACAAAGGAAGGCAAGGTAAAGTATGAAGATACTGCATTTGCTTGAAATTTAGGAACTAAATTCAGAGAGTCTGAATCTGAAGCCATTTAGGAACTAAATTTCAAGGAATTCACTAAGGAGTTAAGAAGATATATGAAATTGTTGTCATATGTCACTGAGCACTGGGTTTTATGAAATACCACTTGTCCAAAAGGAAACCATATTCAGTTTTTGAGAGGCCTATTTGAATATTTATTTCATTAATGTCCAAATCTTTGCTTTATGGTAATTTCAATCCTGACATTTTTGGTTGATATGGATATCGGTAGTATTTATCCACCTGGAGGGGAGTTGAGTACTACCTCTGGAATGTGCTCCTCCCTAGAAACCAAATGTAAGCAATTGCTCTTTAATTCATAATGTAGTAGAAAGTTAGTAAAGCTGAAATATTGCCTTCAAAGGCCTTTCATAGGATGTAAAGGAAAGTAAAATAAACTGTTCAGTCATACAGCAGAAGAGGATTTTGGTAATCACTGAATCTGTAGAAACAGATTTCTCTCAACAGTAGATTAATTCTCTCACTCATGATAGAATATATTAAGATGCAGTCATTGTATTATGTAATTTTGACCATCCTTGAGACTTTTTTTCTGATTAAATTATAAAGTCATCTCTCTGGATGGGTTAGGCTAAACACCAAGTGAGCAGACAACCCGTAAGTGTGTCATTCATCTCTTTTTCATAGTGCCCAAACTGCAACATTAAAGTCACTGTGATTCTGGTCCTGATAGTGGTCTTGTCTGTCTTCCATTGTTACTCCTGTTTTAAAATGAAATTAGTCAAACACTAGTCCAAAAATGGACCCTTGTAAGAGATCATAGAAGGTGAGTGTAGTCAGACACAGTTGCTAATGCTGCAGCAAAATACTACACTGATTTCAGCTATGTTACATCAACTCATCCTTCGGGATATTTTCTGTAATACATAACTTAATAGCTGATCCCAAAACAATTTGTTTTTACAGGCATTTGCAAATAAGGATGGAAGCATAATAATAATAATAATAATAAAAACATAGCAAACCAAACTCCGTCTCAAATTACATGGAGTATTTTCCTTACTAGTTTCAATTTCAAATCCTAACACAATTAACTGTTACAAATGTGGTGAATACGTTATGTGAACAAAATGCTTCAGGGAAGCCTTAAGTTATGAAAAGCCTATGTTATGATAAGTGCTGTTCTCAGTTTGACTTTTGTTTCTGATGATAGATATAATCCCCAATTTTAATGTAGTTAGGAGATCAAATGGCTCAAAAAACTAAATGGCAGAGTCTTTAAGAGTCATAGTGTGCTTAAGAAGTTGACCAGCCACCAACAAGTGTTTTAAAGTGATTAAAAATATTTGTCAGGAAAGAGAAGGGGATAGGAGCTCAATGTGAGGCATTTCCTTTGTGTTTTGATGAATTATGCAATAGGGAGGTTTTTAGGCATTTTATACTTCAATAATTATCCAAAATAAGTGATACCATTACTAGCTACACTTAAAGTGCAACTGGACAAAAAAACTACAAAATACTCACTAAATAATAACTCTAATAGTAGCAGGGAAAGTTAGGTAGAGTCAACCATAACTTACTGGACAAGCCCCGCATCTTTACCTAAGATATTAAAGGAGGAAGGGTGCCTTTGACTATAACTGGGCAAGTAATCTGCTTCAAATTTGTTTAAGATCTGACAAAGCTGGCTTATCAGGAAGAAATGATATTGGCAAAGGAGGAGTTGAAAATCAGACTTGTGGCTTCTCATGAAAAGAAGTCACTGTACTAAACTCAAAGGTTTCCAGAGAGTCTGAATCTGAAGCCAAAATCTGTTTGGCCTAGGGAAATTGCATACTCCAGATTTTTGAGTTAATTAACTTTACTTTCACTGAAATAGCATAGTATGAAGAAGTTATATGAGCTAAAGCTCAGGAGAAGCCATTACCTCCTGTTACTCAAACGATTTCTTACAAAGACACTTTTGAGAATACAAGGAATGCAGGATCAAGTCCTTCATAAATAGCAATCAGCAAAGCTTCTCTGTCTACTGGAGCATCACGGCCTTTCTCACAACTTCTGATTTGATTTAGTCCTTATTTTATGTTGCTAAATCTGCATTGTTCTTTCATTCAGAAGCCTAGATTTTATTTAAATACAGCTCTAGCCTCTGGCTGACACCATAAATGAATGCAAATCTAGTCAATGTAGTTGGACTAATCCATTTACTGTCTCAAATCTATACTCCCTTTTTCTGTCTACCTCAGCAATAATGAATAACAATCAGCTATTCACTGGGTCTCTATAAATGCTTTTTGATTTTTAAAACTTGACAGAGATAAAGTAGATTTTAATTGTTCATTGGGAAGCTGTAAGGATGGAAAAATGGTAAAACTAAGAAATGCATTTTTAATTTCTTCTCAAAGTGATTCTCTACAATTATTATATGGGTGATAATAAACATCTATTAGATGTGTTCACTAAAGCCAGAAATTTTAGCTGTCCACTAATATAGCTGTTTTCACCTCAAATGTGTACCTAAGTTTGGTACAACTTATTTTTTAAATTTCTTTCAAATAGTTCATCAGTTAAAAATCCCTCTGTTTGAATGTTGCATTATTCCTACTTTGTTCTCCCTTGCAGTAAGATTGCAAGGGCTTCTCACTACACAAAATCAAACTGTTTATTCATAAGCTCCTAGAATTAAAATTTAAATGTGTGTGGAAGGTTTATTTGGATCGGGAAGGGCCAGGGTGTGGTTGGGGTTTGATCTCTGTTGGGTGTTTTTTTTTTGGCCCCCACTGCACAGACATCTCTGTTCTATTGGTGAGATTCTTCTCAAATTTTCTTCTGAAATTTATCCATGACGAAAAATACATATTTTTTTTTTATGTGCCACTGTTGTCTGTTATCACAAATCACTCTTTTCCCTCTTCCAGGAACCTCTGAATTCTTGTTTTGTTTGCAGGTTGGACACCAGAATTAGGGCAAAGCTTTAAATGATTATCTCTTCCAGGTTAATAGTGGTTTGCTATGACAGGTAGCTAGCTGAGCAGGGCCCACCCTTTGATGACCACAGTCAAAACGGTGGTCATCTTTTCTGCCTGTGGTTACAAATGTTTGAAAAAACAGCTCAGGTTCTCTGCTGTGAGTGGTCTGGCAGGTGCAAAGCCATGCTTCTCCCACTCAGGAGGATGCTCTTCACTCTGACTTTTTGATTCCTGGATTATTTCTGTCTGTGCACTGGCTGGGTCAACATTAAAGTAAACTATCTGAGTCCTGATCCTCATTTCTTACCACAGCTGTACTTTACCTGCTTTAGCTGATTGTGCAGTGGAATGAAGCCCAGTAATTTTGAAGTGCATAGAAACTGTAGGAAATGCTGTTTTATTTCTAATTCAAATTTAATGAATACCTGCAGAGTTTATGTTGAGGGAAGTTACTTCAGCCCTTATCTTTACATAGTAATAATGCTGATTTTCTGTAGTAAAACATAATTCATAGTTCTATTCATTTGCAACTGAACCTGTAATTTTAAAAGAAAAACATTTCTTACTAGTCCTCATAAGATTCTCTCCTCTCTAATGGCTGGTGTCTGAACAAGTGAATTATTCCCACATCAGAGTAGGACAATTTTATTTGCATTTTTTGCATTGGAGACATTAAGAGAAATCCTATCATATGTAAATTGGATCAAACAAGAAATGCATGTAGACAGCAGGGGGTTTTAAATCTGTCTCATAGGCAGTTGCTCTTTTAACTACAGGAAACAGATTATGAAGGCAAATGCTAAAGAAGGGAGATTTTTGAAGAGCTATTTCATTCCCCAATTTATATTTGGTTAAAACAGCTGTGGTCTCCTCTATTGATATATATATCTGTATCATTAGCATTTGACTTGGTGGGAATAAGCTTTTCTGAGGGAAGGTGGAACTGGAATCATCCTCTTCCTTCAGGCCATCATCTGCCACTCTTTTGAGTGACCATTTCTCACGGGTCTCGAATTGCTGTCCATGACGCATGCACCTAAATACATCTTTCCACATCAAATCTCTAAAGTATTCCTATAATATCTTTTGGTCCTACTTTAGCAGAGTTTTGAATCCATTGACTTCCTAGCTTAAGTATGTTTGATGGAATTAAGGCCTGAAGCATAAAGGGAGCATTTGTGCTTGTTTCCTCAATGAGGGGAAAGAAGGAGAAGAAAAGTATCCTTGTACCCTCCCTCTTATGTAGCTTTGCTGGGGTCAAAAAGAATCTGACCCAAAATGAATTATGAATTGTTTTCATGGTGGACAAGAAGACATTGTCACTGAGTTTTGTTCTTTATGGAAAGTCATCGTGGAGAGTTCCTGATTTCTTTTTTTTTTTGGCGTGCAATCTGTCATTTTAATAGTGACATGGGACCTCCGTTTTAATATGTATATCATTGTTTCCTATTACCTATTCTCTCTCTCTCTTTTTTTTTTTTTTTTTTTTTTTTTTTTGTAGGTTTATGCATCTATTGACTTGGGGAAAAAATGGACTCTTCTGCAGGAGCGAGTTTCAAAAGATCACATTTTTTGGTAAGATGCCCATTATCTTCCATATAATAATAACTTTTTTTAAAAAATGAGTAGCAAAAATATTTTTTTCTAATCAAGAAAGATGTTTTCAGATGTGCTAAGGAGAGTAAGAGCTTTGGTTTCTTTTGCAGATCGAGTATGTCAGCATTGATGCATCCACTATTGTAAATTTGTGCTCACGCTAAGTATCAGTATATAGGGGTTAATAGGTCTAGTTCTATGAAGCTGAAGATTAAAGAGAACTGTAATGTCCAATGACATTTTTTTTTGTTTTACTGGTAAAAATTGGTCTACAAAAAGGGAGAACAGTATTTTCACGGAGAAAAATCTATAACGTTTTTAAGAAATGTTGAATCAGACCTATTAACTGGAGTCATATATAAACTTACACTGTTAGGGAAACTGGTGAAAAATATGACTTTACTGAGTACACATATATCAAATGATTTTAATTTATCTTGCCTCTCAAAACATTTAGGAAGTGATTTAAGCAGAATGACAACATTTTTGAAGGATGTCAATGTCTGTTTTGTTTTCTTTTCTGCAATTTAAGTAATTTTGTAAAATATATAATTTGCATCAAAATTAAACTTTGCTGTTTTTAATTGATTTTGTATTTAAAAGTCTTCAATTTACACAATTCATATTTATCTGGTTTCTATTGGAAAAGTCCAGATAATTCCACCTTTCACATTTTACTTCAATGTATTAATATAGAACGTGTATAACCATATTATTACAAATAATTAGTATTTTTTATTACAGGATTAGTCATAACATGCTAGTCACTTTAGTTCTCTAAATGACTTTTGATTTGTTTTAGTTCTAGAATTGTCCCTGCAAAAATTAAGGGAATTTTTCATAGTTCCAAATAACCCTTTTTTTTGTTGTTTTTTTTTTTTTTTGTTTTCTTTTTGTTTTGTTTTCCTGTAACCTATTACTGTCCATATTAGTCTATGTTTTTCCATAGGTAAACAGCCTGTGGTTTGTTTGTAGTAACACCTATCTTATAGGCGTAGGTGTTACTATATACTATATATACTGCCATGTATTACTTCAAACACAGTTTGTTCATAAATGTCACATTCCTCTCAGAGAAAAGTAATAAATTCTAAGAATTTGTACATTTACAAACATTAGAAATAATTTCCAGGCCTCGCTTTCCCCTTTTCAGAGGAGAGACCTCTCTGATTTCTCTCAAGAACTTTATCAGCCATCAACAGCAAGGATTATGGGGGCAGATATTTAGCACTGCATTATGATCCTATGATCCTTCTCTAATACTTATTAAGAGTCATTAGAAGTAAAATCTTTATTTCTAAAAGAATTTTACTTCTAAAAATAATGTGTGATGTTGCAATAAAAAAAGAATCTGCTGTGAATGGAGGGTTGGACATCATGGCCTTCCTGTAGATGTTACTGTAGCATTATATGAAACTTTCCACCCTTCATTATGGCCTTCATCACCTGAGTTATCTGAGTGCTGAGTAGAAACTAGTATTTGTGTAGTTTTCCATGAGCGTACGATTTGTTGTCAGACTTCGCCTACTGGAACACTCTTCTAAGTCTAGTATTGTTTTCTTGGCAATATGTAATATCTGATATGTTAAAGATAGGTGAAATTAATTCAAAGTAATCGTGTATCTCTATAAATTAGGGAATGTGTTTTGCTGATACTGGCTGGTTGTGCTGAGAACATTTCACTGGGCAGGTCTTTAGCAAATGGTACTTTGGTATCAATAGAGCTTTGGTACTGTATAGAAGTGTATAACATAGCCTAAGATTTTTATTTCAGCCTGGTAGATACAGATATCCATCATAATATTTTCCTGTGCTTTTTAAAAACAATTTCCTCTTGTGCCTCCAGCAGAAGCCAGATATTCACACAATTCCTGAAGAAGCTTTTTTTTTTTATTATTATTGAAAATCTGAATGCACTTAATTTAATGCAATGTCTTGTATATTTATTCTATGTGAAGGTCAGTAGGGACTGGGTAGTTTATTTATGTGCAGATCTTATACTATAGATTTCTAAGCAATATATTTAAATAATCTTCGAGGCTTTATGTGCTTTTTCAAGTGTTTTGGACTGTCCCTTAAGTGTTTTTGCAGATCTAACATATGGAATTTGGTCTTTCATGATAGTGGAACTAATGGAAAGATTATTGATATCACTGGAAAGTGTATACTATCATCTCTATTTTAGCAGTACAGAATATTTTCATCCCGTCTGTGATTTAGTGTGGCATTTTCTCCTCCTCCTTCCTCTCCCCCCAGCTGTTTTCCCAATTTGTTTCATTTATACTTTTGGAAAGGAAAGTTGACTAATCCTTCATAGCAGTTTTTCTTCCCAGAGCAGCTTAGGAGGGCTTGGGAGGCTGCAGATGTAAAGATGGTTGCAAAACTTACGTATTCTAGAAACTTCTTTGTTTTTCTATATTTGTTTTCTCATTGAAGTTCACATGAAGAATAAAAATATAGGGGAAAATAAAACAAAAACTTTTTCAGTGAACTTCCATGTAAAAATCCTGAAAATAAATTATTTTAATTAATTTCAAAGCAAAATCATGAAATGTAGATTTGAAATTAACCTCAGAAAATCAGTGAAGTTTCAATATAATTCAAAATAAAATATTTCATTTTGTACCTGAACTTAAAAATAACTTTTTTTTATAAATACTAATTGAGAAGTTTCTTTTTTTTTTTTTTGTGAAAAGTTTGAATTTTGAGCAAATTCTTGTGCATTAAAATTCAGAAATTTTGGTTACCATGACCAGTTTTACTTCTGCCTAAAAACTACAACCAACCATGCATTATTGTCCTGAAGTTAATATTTCTATTGAAGCGGTATTGTAGGGCCTAATCCTTGTATGTAGTTTTTTCCAGTTCTTAGCATATTTGTTGGAGCGTATGCAAAGAGTTTGCTTTAGAAATAGAATAACCTGTCCCAGTAAATCATTGAGCACCCACACATCACAGGATATATTAGTTTTATATATCAAGCCCATTTAAAAAAAAAAAAAAAAAAAAAGAGAGAGGAAAAAAAAAGTATATTATGTGGTAATAGTCTAGAAGAAGAAAGAATTCTGCAGTTTGGGATTCCTCTACCTCTGCTGCTATTCTTTTCAGTCCCTAAGGCTTATGCACCAGTTAAGTTCCTTTTGATTTCTTAAAATAGAGCTTAGTAATACATAAGAGAAGAACAGATTGTGAATCAGCTGTCTACACCAGCACAAATATACCCCAGGACAGTAAGTCCTGAAGCAGTAATTACCAGAGAATTAAGCCCAACATACTTTCATTATGATTTTGTCTGGAGTCTTAGAAATTTATCCTCAGCTTACTAGAATATGTGGATCCAATGTGAAAGGTATCTATTACTCTTATTTTTAGAGATCAGTTCTCCATTTTCATGAGAGGTGAAAACATAAAAATAAAAAAATGATGAGTGTATTTGGGTAGAGCGGTTGTTCTCCAGGGACCAAAGTTCTGTTCTTATCATGAAATCCCACATGAGCAATCAATCATAGTTGCAGCCATTAATGTCAAGTGTAGCGAGTTCCTGCCTATTTGAGTGTCAGGTGAAAGAGTGGAGTTTAGAGGTGTTATGCCCTGAAGGAGAGAGAAATGGAAAGAAGATTTCATTGAGCTTTTAACATTGAATTTTGTGTGAAAGGCTCTTGTGTGGGAAGCCAGGGGATCTGCGTGGGCAGTCATTCTTACGTTTGACTTAAGCATTCAGGATGATATTTGTTTCTATTCCTATCTGTGTGGTGATGGGGATGACAAACCACTTTGGCCCTGCTGTTCAGATAAGGGTGGCAGGAAAAACGTTTTTTAATAAAAAGTGTTTAGGAATAGGGAGCAAATGAGGAGCAACACTGGCTGTGCAAGGCATTGACTGAGTCATTGAAGGTGCATCTTTCAAAGAGATGTGAAGAAGGCAAGGCCTGAAACATAAATCAGTTGTAATCTACTAACTTTAGCTTATATAAATCAAATTGCGGTTTTGTCTCCCTGAGTAATCAGGTTGCCAAGAGTCAATTGCATTTTAAGCTACTCAGAAAAAGCATCTACATGCTTTTGACTTGCTTTCTAAGCAAGACAGTACCCTTAAACCAATGATGTGAATCACTAGAAATCAGTCAGTGTAAAGTGGGAACTTCTTACCTTTTGGGTAAAGTTCATGTTAAGGGATGATAAGAGGGGCAAATAAAAGAGACATGTACGTTTTCAGTTGGCATTTCACTGGGGACTCAGCCACATCAGCAAGCAAATTTGTTTTGATTTGGTTTTGGATTCAGATGGTATATTTGAAGATATCACTTCATCAATATGCATCCAAGTGAACTGGATTGAATATTTAACAATGAAGGGACCTGTTGGAAGGAGAGGGAGATGCATGTCCACAGCAGACTCTACTTGATTAGTGCCCATAGACAACTGCTCTGCCTCAGAAGTAAAATATGAAATCATAATTACCACATAAGGGATTGATGCTTACAATTCACATTTTGAGATATGCATTACTACACATCAGTGGTAATTTTTGTTTGTGTATATTACATAAATACCAAATTCTAGGTAGGCATTGATGTTTTTCTAGTATTGCATACAACTGGGATGAGAAATTACTGGGGCAGTTTATGAGGAAGAGAGCTGAATAAAAGCAAAATTGTTATTAAAATAATGCCAAATGTCTGCTAACTTGCATTCTTAATGAAGAACTCCTAAATTTTAAATTCTTAGAATTTTAGCATTGTCATTTAAAAATATAAAATTTTAAATGCCTGTATCGTGGAGTATATATTTATACACAGACCAAGACGGATGCAGAGATCTTATTAGACCACTCCATCGCACCATTTCTATGCTGATGTAATGCTGAGCAAGTTGGTGTTGTGTCTTGGTGGAGCACTAATACAGAAAAGTGAAGGTCATGCAAAAGCTAATCTTTTGAAACTTTAAAGTCTCAAGCAACATATACATAAAAAGAGCTGTAGTGCCCCTCAAGAGGCCGAATTCAGCCCTACCTTGTATATGGAAACATAAGTGTCCTGTTTTTCCTTTGCTTTGCACTTTATTAGGTGCATCTTTATGAGCTTTATGACATAAATAAATTTAGACATGCACAATGGCTGCACCACAGCAACCCTGTATCAGTGCACCACCAAAAGGCGCTGCTTTTCTTCTACAGGATTGGTGGTCAACTACCTTCATGGTGAGGTGGCTTAAAAAACAGAAAACCAATCCCCCAAATTCCCCAAATTACATTTTGCTGAATTAATTTTCCCAAGACGCTCAGCATGGTGTCAGACAAGCACGAGTGCTAGCACAAGGGAGGGTGATGGAAACTTGTGTTCACAGGAAAGGGAAAAAGCATATTGAGACTGCCTATATTCACAACACCCTACAATCAAGTCAGTCTATTTTCATTTTGAAGTGTTGTAACCACACTGTAATGTGATCTGAAGTGCTGGCATGTTGCACTTGCTTTAATCAGAACAGTGTATTTGGTGAAGAGATATTTATTTTCATAGAGGAAAATTTGTCTGATCTAAAATTAATCTGTTTTTAGGTCTCCCTCTCCCCGCCCGTGGAAATTTTAAGTGCATGTTGTAAAAACTGAAATTGAAAAAAAAGGGTTTCGAAGAAAGTGCTCATTGCACTGAAAGCTTAAGTTTCTATTTGAAAATAGAATTTAATGTTGAAATGACAACAAAAAAGGAAGAAGCTGTTGAATTACAAGTTGTTGTAATACATTGTGTCTGTAAGATGAAAGAGATCCTGTCCTAGAGCTGGCTCAGGAGCAGTGAGCTGTGTTTGTGAATAGATGTGTGGACATAATCCTCACACTGATATGATATATCTGTGTTGTGGTAGCAATCATTTTATATATGAAAATACATTAAAAAAAAAAAAAAAGCTTAGATTTCTCCTTCAACATGAAAAAGCATAGCTGAGCCTTCCTTTTAAGTGGATCACTTACAGTATGTATGGTTTTTGCCTATCATTTTACGAAAGCTATATTGCATGAGCAGATGGACTGTGTTTAGCCCTGTAGTATGTTACACCTAGTATGATACACCTTTTTCCTTTGGTTCATCGTTTAAACACAGTTGAAATCACGATATTGCTGTTTAAAGTACTGTTGGCAGGGGATTTCACTGAACTGAATGGATTAGTTTATTCTTCAGGGATATTGCTTCAAGTTCTCTGCATTAGCTATACTCCATTCTGAAGATTTTCTTAGTAGCCGTAATAGATGGGTCTTTTTTCAATGAAAGAGAAAAGGACTGTTCCTAAGTGTTTGTAAAAATAGGCAAAAAGACTTCAGAGTTGGGAAACTTTGCTCTATAGTTGATGTTCAAAAGTAGACTTTGAGGGTTTAACATCTTCAGTGAGTAAATAGAGAGCCATCTGTACAATTAGAATAATATAAAACACAAAACCTGGCTTTGAAAAAATGAAGTTGTTTCCTTATTTTATTTACCTATTTTTTGCCTCTCAGAATGAATAAACTCTGCACTTAAAGAGTACAACTCACATATTTGATGTATCTAAAGTGAGATATCTATGGGTACAGCTTAATGATAATTTCTTTTGGCAGCTCTGTGGCTTCTGTCTTTGTGGGGTTACCTTTAAATTAGATAGTTCCAACCACTGGGACCTGACTGGTTCAGTGGAACAACTGAGGTGGTGACGGAGAGGCAACACTGGGAACACAGCAGGGAGGTGGCTTAATCTGGTAGAATAACGAGTAGAAATGGTTGTCAAATTGCAACATGGAGTTGTCACCCTAAACCTTCTGTGTGTCAATGGAGGTGATCTAGCTGGTTTAGGAAGAGAGGACTTACCTTCTTGTTTAATGAATGTTCTCCTGTTTAATGAAGCATAGTTTCAAAAGGGAGAATAGGGGAAATGTGTGAACTTCAGGGGGAAAGAGGTATTACTTTTTCCTGACTGGGTTTTAAAAAGCTTTTCTTGTGATTTTTTTTCACACCTACTGAAATACAAATCTAAAGGAGAGATGTAGTCCAGGTTGGAAGCTTTCATGTTCTGTGTACATGTGGTGTTCATTAACACCGATCGGTTACAACCTCTTGCACTAAATGATTACACTGGAAATGAGATTAGACTCTATTTGTGCCAGCTGCCACTGTTAGGAGGAACATGATAGACAGATCATTCTCACTTCTGAGCTATTGAAAGAAGTGTGTAAAGGTATTGACGTGTATCTCTAACTGTGCTCATGAAATCATGTGTAATGAGTTATAGACATAGGAGTTGTTTTTTTTTTTTTTCACAAATACCCCAAAGCTGTATTATTGGTACCAATCAGCAAGTCAGGTTGAGCCTCAAAATACTTCAACCCTAAAGTTTCTGTTAGTTTGTAGTTCAGCTGCATGTGGTCTAGAACAAAAGATAAAGTATTCAACAACCGTAATTCTCTTCCTTTAGAGAGCTGACTGCAAACTAAATAGAAGATTTGATTCGGTATGTCGTGAATATCTAGAAGAAATAGATATTATAATAGGTAATGTACACTGAAAAAAGTAGTCCACAGATCTCCCCTCACCCCCGCCCCATTCAGATACACTTTTATCAGACCTCAGTGAATATAATAGCTTTTCTGACTTGATGTATTTTCTCCAAAATGCTCTAATAGTTTGTGTTTCAGAGGCACAATTTCTTAGAAAATGCAGGACTTGTCCATGCATTTATTAAAAATTCCTAGTAGAAGTTTCCTTCACATTTCATGGCTTGGCAGAGCTCATCACTCCCCCTCCCCTTCCTTATTCAGACTGATCATTTATCTTATTAGGAAAAAAACAGCAATGTGATTATTTCTGGTTGTTATGCAGCAGTGGAAATCATCCAGTCTCTTCCCCCTGGCCTGCATTCCCAAGGAGCCACCAATTACTGAGTCTGGGTTTTCGCCGCTCCTCATAAATCAATGTCATTAAAATCATTAAACAATGATGTAATTTCAATCCAAAGTATTAGTTTTATTGCATTTGATTATTAATAATTGTATCAAAATGACCCTTTTCTCTAAGTACTGTAATGAGGTTTTTTAGTACCTGAGTCCAGCTGCATTTTGTTACTCAGTGCACCTCCTTTGAATGTCTTCAGCTCGCGTCTTACTGACTCAGTGGACACACATTGCCATTGAAGAGCCTTGTGAAAAGTGATGTAGCTACATGGGAGTTGGGACGGATTCTACTTTGCTTTGTGACAGCATGAGTGTCAGCTCCAAGCTATCTCTGCAGAATCTTCCTGACTAATGGCAAAGTAAGGGCCAGGAAAAAGCGCAGCTGTGGCTGCTGTCCCTAGGTTGGGATGGGAGCCCTGAGGGTAGAAAGCTCATCTTTTGGCTAAGTATATTTAACATGGGGAATATTAGGAGAAAATCAGCCTGTATTCCCTGTGCACTTTTTCAAAGTTAAGCTGTGCTTTGATCAATTCTGACTGAATTTCCTTTTCAGGATATCCTTCTCAAAATTACTTTTTGCTTTCTTCCTTTGTCAAAGTAGAATCTACTCTCCTTTTCAATATACTTACCAATGACGTATCAATTAGTTATGGAAAGGATGTGTCAAGTTTAAGGTATTTCTAATAAGAATGGAATCCAAGTCTCCTTTAGCCCCAAATCTGCCTTGTCGTCTCAAATGTCAGAGGTAATTGTAAAAAGATGCTCTGAAGCTTGCCAGTAAATATGAGTGCACATGTATCTGTATATATTTATGTATAAACTTGGGATTATAAAGTTTTGTTTCCAATTTCATAACTATTTTGGTTCTTTTCTCCAGTTGATACTAGGATCCTATTTGTATGCATGTTTTAGTAAGAGGTATTTTAAAGAAATTTAAGGAGAAAAACATAATATCAAGTACAGAAAAAAAATGTTTTCATCTAATGTTAGTAATATGACATTATAAATGGGATTTATTTTAATTTCCCAGCTAGAAGAATGTTAAAGCTGGTTAGCATGAAATCCTCTCTTGTCCTCCATCCACATAATTACAATTCTGTAGCTGGCTCTGCATAACTTGATTATATTATGTTCTCAGGGCCGTTGCTGGAGTTGATGGAGACCCTGATTTAGTTCATATGGAAATCCAGGACCCCAGTGGAGGTATGCAAATGAAAACGTTATCATTTGATTCCCTAGGGTATAGTTATTTCTCTTTGTTTTAGAGAGTACTTTTTGGATTGATTTTTAGTCAGAAGTACAAGTCAGATTCTTGCTCTGTTTATCTGTAGTCAGTAAAGCTGTCCTTTTATATAAAACTATAGTATAATTTAAAATTTACTTGTTTTCCACTCTAAAATGAATTGACATCAAGACGCTATGCTCTGTTGAAAGCTTCCATTAATAGTGCAATTTGTTCTGGCAGTTAAACATTGAACATTTTTTCCTGATTTGCGAATAAAACTGGCAATGCAGTGGTAGTGTTGGGTAAATGTCTGTTAAAGTGAATTGTTGCATATGTCAGTCCTACTGAACTAACCACTGTCTCCCAGAATTTCCTCATGTTACAGCATCTAGTATACTCTGAGACTTCAAAAGCAAAATAAATGAAAAAGCAGATCAGCAGTCAGGATGTGATGCAGTAAAGTCACCATGATTCAAAAAGTTTATATGGTTTCTTTTTGCCAATTGTACTCCTCCTGAAAGATGATTTAATTCCTTGAATCAGGTCATCTAAGCTCCTTTGTAGTCTTATAAATTAATTGTAAAGGATGCACTGTTTGACTTTCCTTGATCCCTGAAGGTTTTCCTTTTTTTTTTTTCAGCTCTATATAAAAAAAAAAATCAAAAAAAAAAAAATAATCAAGAAACCTGGATGAAAAATTCCCTAAATCTTTTATAATTTATATGAGCCCTTCACAGCCCCATCAGCTGCTTTGTGTAGAGACATTGTAAGAAGTTTGTTTAGGAGCTGGATGGATTTTTTTTATATATATATAATTTAAAGGAAACAGCAGAAAATGAGAAAATATAATGAAATATTTACTGCCTGGCTGGGTTCTCAATTAACCACACTTAAGGTCAATACAAGCATTGCCATTGATTTTAGTGGAAACAGTATCTTTGTACTACCTGTCTGATAAAGCACTAAAATATATGTCCTATGAACTATAAATAGGTGAAAGACTTTATGAGGGCCCTTTGCTATGCTTGCTCAAATATCCTTGTGATGATGATTTGGAAATAAGTAAGAGAACTTGGAATGACTCTAGCTGCCTTTTAAACAGATCCAGATTATAAAACAAATATTTGTATTTAGCACACTGGTTTGGCCTTTTCTAATAAAAAAAATCCATGAAGTATGGAATGCATTTCCTATCACTGCAAAAGTAACAAAGGACATGTGCGGGGGTGCACTGTTTGCTCTTTCACACTGTTATCTGGAGCATGGAAACCATTAGTGATCTGAACGCGGGGTCATTCATATAACTATTTTCTCACTGCACTTGGGAATGACAGCCGTAGTTTGTGTTCAAAGGCTTGTGCTGGAGGGTGAGCTTGAATCTAGGAGAAGGTTGTTGGGCTGCAGCTGGTTTAAGATATGATATTGGCTCTCCTCTCCCGGTTTCATAGGAGCAGATTGCATTAAAGATGCAGCAGTGCTCTCCTAACTACTCAGGCAGAAAAGATGTTCCTTGTCCATGGCTAACTGGACAGGAAGAGAGCAGCCATAGCCTCCACTGATACAAATCAGTGCAGGCTTTTTCAACAAGGTATTAACTCTTAGTACAGAGGTCCTGCCCCAACAAAGCAGTTCTAATACTGTGTTAACTTTTCTACAGGGCTTTGAATATAGCCTTTAGAATTCCATATGCTGTATATTTAACTGAGTCTGATTCTCATTTCACTCATCACAGTTTTATATTGGGGCTGATCTATCGATTTCAGTTATGTTGTGTAAGGCTGCCGTTTCTACAAATGAGTGATTTGGCTATGTGCATAGGTTAAGTGAGAAAAGAGGCTTCTTCTATTATCCCCACCTATGAAAGTCTCATTCACCTAATCCCTAATCTCTCTGGACCAGCAAAATTTGGAGGACAGGCTACCGCCCATGAATGATCTGAACTGTAGGCACTTAATGTATTCTCAGTACATTAGAAATTGAAAAACTCTTGTATGAAGGCTTAATATAATATTACAACTAACTCAACTGGCAAAGGCAGCACTTTCCCTACATGAATAACATTTTATACTGCTTGCTTCCTTTTACCTCCAAAGCCCTGTCATATGTTTCTGTCTCTCTTCCCTCAGGTTATCGCTACATCACTTGCCAGATGCAGAATTGCTCTGATAAGACAATGACAGTCCAGTTTGCTGGTAGCACTGATCGGGATTCCCTGACTGTGCAGGATGACTACATATTTCTTCAGGTAAAGCCACTTTCTAGGGAGACAACCAATTTTAAAATTCCGAAGTAAAATTTTAGACAGTACCACAGAACTGTAATTTAGGAGCATGGAGAAACCTGTTCCAGAATATGCATGATGATTTATGAATATTTACATGGAACAACAACAACAAAAATATCATCTTTAATTTGTGCAGCTGGTTGCTTGTGTATCCAGTTGATTTTAATTCATCACTGACCTAGCTTTAATTAGACTGAAATTTTCAAATGGCTTATGTGTTTCAAAATTACTTTTTATAAATACTATTGTATGGTAGGCAGAAAACAATCCTCTGGGGTTACAACTTTTTGTGGGTTCTTTCCATATTTGTGTAGCATGAAAAGATTTCCTAAGAGCATCTAAGGAAAGCCACTAGCAGAGTAGTGGCTCAACTTCTTCGTATGGATTCTCCTGTGAAGAGGTGTTGGTGGGAAAGAAGTTACATGACTGTGCATAGGAAGTAAAAGTTTGGAATGGCCATAGCTTGGGAGCAACTTGTGATAATCCAAATTCCATTGGGATTATTTCATTCCAAAATAAAAAAAACCTGCATGCACAAGCCTGAGCGGGAGCTCTGTCAGCCTTATGGCACCAACCAAGTGCAACTTAGGCCTAGCTGGAAATATTATTTAATGTGCCTGGGAGTCATCAGGATTTGAATCTGCCAGAGCTGCAAACTTCTCAAAGAAAGGTTATATCCTACTTGTTTTTCATGATTTTCATGTGAGGTCATGTGTACTTTCCCCAGTGATTGGCTATATTTCTGTTATTTTGATATGATTTGCTTGTCACAAGGTTTGTCTGATTATTGACTCCTGCAGAAAGACAGTTTTATGTGTGGATACTTCTCCACACCACTGTCTTGGTGTACATTAGATTGGCTTTTTTGCAGCTTTCCTCTTTTGTGGTTGTTTCTTCCAAAAGGATTTGTAAATTGATAGAGATGAAAGAAGCACTCCTCTCAGTCAACACAGCAGTTGCAAGGACCCACACAGAAACAGCAAATTGGATTTGGAAAAAAAAAAAAATTTGAATTTGAGTGGGCAGTTTTCAGCTTAGGTCTAGAACTTGTGGCACCCATTTTATTCAAAGCTATTACTATTTGTGGCTCCCACAAGGTGCGCTTTAAAATCCGTTTCCCAGTTTGTAGATGGTGAAAAGTGCATCTCACCACATACAGTTCCAGGCTGCTGCACTCAACAAAACACAGACTGCTTCCTCTTCAAACATATGTGTATTGCCAGACATCTTGTATAATCGCACCTGGAGCTGTTGTTGTTCTGTCTTATAGCAGGCATGGACAAACAGGAAATGGAATTCCAACTTGGAAATGTACACATGAATTTAACAGACAATTGCTTTTGCAAAACTATGCCATTGGTAACATAGTCTCTGTAGATTTGAGACATATTAATGCCTAGAAGAGAGATAAACATAAAAGGGTAGTATTCTCTAGTTCCCACATAAAGGGGAAACATGTCTAGTCTTTTCCTTTCAGACTTATTACAGTAAATCACAGCATGTACAATAAATCTCTCTTGTTGCTTAACTGTTTAACAGCTAGCCAGGTCTGTATTACTGAGGGATAGAAGGTATTGCTGGTGGGATTCTTTAGTCGTATGTAAAGTGCAGCCACCTTTGGGATGTGGTGCAGGACACTGCTTTTGTCTTTTCCAGTGAAGCCACACAGCAGCTGTGCATCTGAGAAAGATCACACTTCTGAAACAAAATGAAAATTCATTTTTTAGCTAGGCTGAAGTATTGCTATGAAAGTTATAATCAGACCAGGGACTGCTCTTGATATCATAGCAATATCTGCCAAAAAGATGTCTCAGAGTCATCTGTGCAAAAATGAGTTTGAGACAGTCGTACGGCCCCTGGCATCGCTCACCCATTCTAACCTGGTGCCTGTGAATCAAGCATTGCAGTCTGCAGGGCTAATCCTGTCCGCACTCACAGACTTTTACCAATTTAGAGGTAATTCTCATCCTAATTTCTTTAGTATGTCTATATCCATGAAGATCAGCAGCTTTCCAATGCTCATTGCTTTCCTTCAGTTTGCACCGTCAGCCAGATGGTTTCAGAGGTGATTTTAGCAGGATTAAAGTTTTCACACTGTTTGAAGCACAGACCAGCCTTTAATGTCAGTGGGGCTTGACACAACTAGCTGCTTCAACTTTGATTCTCCGCTGCCTTGCATCATCTCTAGTCATTTAAAATGAGTGACATAAAGTAAATGCATAATGAACATGAAGGCTATAGTAAGATGGGTAAGACTGATATTTAACACTAATTAAATAAATGGTGAACCTTTTGCTTTAATCCATCATTTAACAAATCACATTCCTAAAGGGCATCACATTCTTTCTACCACAAAAAATGAGACTGGTTTAAAGAAAGCGTGAAAGTGATTTCAGTGTTAAATACTTTGATAATTTTAAAATATTCAGGCAGGTGGACCTGCTGACATGCATCAACTTCATTTTTTACCAAGAAAAGTCAAGTTTATTTGCTCCAGGATAGGCTGTTCTCCTAATCAGGTTCCTTTTATAAACACGTAATATTTTAAGTATGTCATGGCCTACAGCCAAATATGCTGTTTGTTGTGGCAAACACCATTTGATTTAAATATTAGCAATTAACTGCAAAACCTGGATTTTTTACTCTTTTTAGTATTATGAAATCAACAATGAATCTTCATTTGAGATGTATCTTCCCTGAATGAGGTTATTTTTTAAGCCTTTCTTTCATAAATTACATTGAATTTCTACCTTTCATTTAGCCATCAGCTTACTCCATTTGCTTTCTTCTTTTGCTCTGCTATGACTTATATAGGAGGGTGAAGTAGAAAAACTGAATGAAGACGTGCTCACGTTAACCTCTAAAACTGGCATCTCCTCCTCTATCTTTCCGTCTCAGTAAAATTTCATTTGACTGCTTGAACTAGACAGGATCCATATTTGTAGAGGAAGTGAAAGACCACAATAGGAATGTTTTTCCCCATGACAATGACAATGACTTTGTCAGATGAGGTTTTGGCATTACATTTCTGACTAGAGAAAAAAAAAAAAATGCTGATGAATATTTTCAAGTGTTTATTTATTTAGAATCTTTCTTTGGGTCCTTTGGAACAAATTTTGCATTGATTTTTGGGGAATTACATAAAAGTCTTAAAATTGCCACTGTGTTGGGCAAAAGGGGAAATGGGTGCTAATGAATAATAGTTATACACAGGTGTTCCTTTCAATGTGCATTTGTTTGCTTGCTTTGGTGGAAATCTTCATAAAACCCCAGGTATATTACATAAAACCTAATCTGTCTTCAGTTCCATGCATGAAAGCAGTTGAAATATGTTTTACCTCTCTATATAAGTGTAGAATTGTGTCTTCAGGACATGTAACTGGTTTTCAAACCGACTGACCGATGAACTGGGAATTGTATCATCTTCCATGCTGTATGTCAGCATCTTGCACTGGAAATGTTTTATCCTGTACAGAAAATCCTAGCCAAATACAGTGAACACTTGGTACAATGTTAGCATGAGTTATTCAGTCCTTTATGAACTGCCTTGAATTGGGCTGTTGGAGAACCACTTGCCCTTGAGGTATTGGTGTTCACAGCCAGTGTGCCACCTCCCTGCCTCCTGTCTAGTGGGTCCTGCTGCCAGGGATTCTACAAAAGGACAGAAATGTGGAAGGCCAATGGGAGAACAGTGTACAGAGATATCAAAAGGACTGAGGTCAGTGAGATGCTGAAGTCTCAGGTATTACTCAAGGTAGCTGAACTGGCAAAAAGAGGGAGGTAAATCTCATTGTTCTTCCTAAAGAAGGGGAGAGGGGGTTGAGTCTACCTGGAGTCTGTTTTCTCACAGCTTTTATTTATCCTATTAGGAGAATAATGTGCAAATTCATCCTATGTAATGGAAGTAATAGCTATATATTTCAATTGCAGGTTAAAAAAAAACAAAACTTCCAAAATATTCCTCTTTACATTTAATATAAACTATCAACTATCACAGGGTTCTGTTTTCCCTTTGTATAGACAACATCAGCAAATCGGACAAAGTATTACGTATCTTACCGTCGAAATGGCTTTGTACAGATGAAGTTGCCAAAATATGCATTGCCAAAAGTGAGTATACACATTTTTATTTCTACTTCTGTATTTTTCTTCTTCACTTTCACAGTAAACTAACTTTCCTTTTTTTCTTTTTAAACCTCATTAGTTTGAGATGATAATTTCTCCTTGAAATGGATTTCTAAATCCCATTTTTGATATATTCTTCCCCTACTGTCTGCATGTTTATTCTAGGAAAGTAATAGCTTATAAACCATAGAGGACAAGAACATAGGATAGCTTATACATCGTCAGTCACCACAATAGTTTCTGAGCTTTGCTTCCATGAAGCTGTGCTACATACCCTATGGCAATATAATGATATTGAGCAAGTGTTCTTTCAAGAATCAATTACAGTTTAATTCCACATGGTGTTTTCTGGTATAAGCATGAATAGTAATATAGGAGAAATTTAGCAGTGGATGGGTCTCTATTTCATTAAAGAATCCCAATATGGACTTTAATTACTTAACAGAATGGCAGAGTTTTCTGTGAGATTCCTTCAGTCCAGCATATTTTTATAGTGACAAGGTTTCTATATTTGTGCAGTAAAGCACAGACAGATATTTACATGCAGTCTGAATGATGCAATTGAAATTTTGTACAGCACACAATATGTTTCATGTTTTTATGTATAGTTAGAAAGCATCTGCAATCCTGAACTGAAATAGTTTGCAGGTTTTAAAGACTCACTGGATAAAACCCAGCTAACCTGATCTGGCCTCACAGTTCACCTTGCTTCCATCAAGAAATTGTTCTCCCAACCTCATGATGTCTCTCTCTTTTCATGTGATTCTTTAGGATTCCTTCATTTTACATATTAGAGAACTAGAATATATCATTGTTACATGTATTGAAATGCATTGGTTAATTCACTGCCCGAGTAGTAAAGGACAAAGGAGTACACCGTATTTACTTGTTTTGTTATTTTTACAAAGCAAAGAATTTGTTAAATGCTGTTTTAGTGTTGTTTTTTTTTTATTTTATTTTATTTTTATTTTGTTTTTTAAACTAAGTGATGGTCTGAAGACTTCTGCTTTCAAATATACAACATATTAACAAAACCCTCAAATCAAATCCTCAGATACTATTTAGACAAGGATCTGAAATTTGGCTATGTTCTCAGTAACATTATGCAGATGGCTGTTTGTTTGTTTATTTATTTTGAAAAGAAAGGGATAGCCAGGGACAGGTAAATATATCAACCATTCCACATAATTATTTCAGTGTTTTAAGGCCATCAGCCTTTATGCTTTCTTGGAGGAATTTGTGATTAGAAAAACAACAGAAGAATATCCAGATGTAAATGTTAAAATGTTCCGAATGTGGACATCCTGAGAGATTACAGCCCATAAGCAACTCCTGCTGGGGCAGGGATCCCCAGATGACTGCAGCTTATGGGTGAATGGGTGACCTACACCAGGACAGGAGAAACAAAGAGGGAAGGAGGAAGGGAGGAAAGTAAGGAATGAGCAAGGAAAGAAAAGAGAAAAAAAAAAAAAAAAAAAAGGCTGATGAGTCCAACAACCCAATAACTCTCTGAAGTACCTGGGTGGGACTAAATTAACACAAAGTGGAAACAAGGAAGTTGAGGCTATGAAGAGGGTAGAAGAGGTGTTTGAATGAGCTCAGCTTGGATATAGGAGAAGAATGGTGTTTACATCAGTGTTTAAATGTTTTTGTTGGTTTGTCTTTGTTTTTCTCTATACCCAAATCGGTAATTAATAACATGTTAATTGTCAATAAATTAAAACAAGTAAAATTCTCTTAGTCTTGAATGTTTTGCCAGAATTCCTGAAGAAGCGTCAGCACATTAGTGCAAGTGTTGACGATTCTAATTTATGTTGCAAAACAGTTATTTGTTTGGCAATGGAACAGGTTGCCCAGAGAAGCTGTGGATGCCTAGAGGTGCTCAAGGTCAGGCTGGTTGGAGCTTGGAAGGGTAGAAATCTTGTATGGAAGAGCATTTCTTCCTGTGCTTCTGCATGGCCTGTTCAGGAATCATAGAATGGCTTGTGTTAAAAGGGATCTTAAAGTTCATCTAGTCCCAACCCCCAAATCTGTACCTTTCCACTGCAGTTTCATTCTGATTCCCAGTAATCTGCTGCAGCACATCTTGTGCTTCCTGTAACTGCCATCACAAAGGAGATGGACATCTAACTTAAGTCTGTGAGCGTTGCACCGTGTGCTATGATTACAGACAGAAGTTTATATTCTATGTGGATGAGTACTTCAGGCATTCAAGAAAGTTAATTATTTATAATAAGCAGGATGCAGACTTTACCTCCTTCAAGATATGTCTCATTTAAATATCAATATTTGTCATACACTATATTAGCAAAGGATGTGTTATTTTGGTTCAGATCTAGCTGTCAAGTACATCTTAATAAATGGGGGGAGGTTGTCATAATCCAAGAACTAAATGAATTGTTTAGTTCTTGTAGTCATCCATGCTTGCAGTAGATGAGCTTGCATCATTGTGAAGAACAGCAGCAAATGTTATTGGAGGGTTAGAAACAAACCACACAGTGCGGGACCTAGATCACAGTCCCATGGAGCTTTCTTTGGCAGCAAACCCAGTTTAAGAAGTTCCCTTCAGTCATTCATTGCTATCACTCTTCTGCCCACTGTGATCTCTGTAGTGTTTGTGGGGCCACCCTACAAACAAGATCAGTGCAGTGAAAAACAGCCTTAAGAAAAGTATAATTTGTTTTTCAAATAGGAAGGTCAAGAGGCAATTTGATTATAGTGAAGTCTCCTTATGGGGAGAAAATACTTAAGAGTCTTAAAGTGCTTTTGTAGAGAGAGAAACCCATAGACGGGAACTGAAGACAGTCTCATTCAAATTAGAAACTCAGCTGAGCTTCTTAATAGCATTGGTGATTAATTATTTGAAAAGGTGCCAAGGAAAGTGACAGATATTCTAGGTTTTGAAGTCTTCAAATAATAATTGAGTGCTTTTCTGGGGGATTTGCTCTAACCATACATAAGTTATTTGCTCTGCCTGTGTCTTGTTAGTTGTGCAGAAATAATAGTTGGAAGTTCTCTGGTTGGAAAGACAGTAAAGAGAGAAAACTAAGGGATTTAATAATCATTTTTAGCCTTAAAATCCAAGTGCAAAGGATACTTAATTTACTAGGCATATGATCTTACTGAGTACATTTCTGACATATTCAGTGTCAGTCATAACTCACTGGTCTTTCTGTTGTCTGAAATAGTGCTGCATCCTGAATTCTTTAATTCTTGCAAAATGTGTGGTTTTTTTTGTTTTGTTTTGTGTTTGTTTGTTTTTTTTTGTTTTGTTTTGTTTTTTTTTTTTTTAAACTTCTAAGCAGATTAACTCCAGGCTTGGCTGAATAAATAAATTAGAAGCTAATGGTTTCATTTTGGATACAGTCAATAGCTAGCTAGGAATAGGATGACTGCATCATTTGGAAAAAGGGGTTTTTGTGTTGTTCCTAGTTGAGACAGTGCCCAATGAGTGGAATGAAATAAACTGTATCCTTTTAGCATTTTGATGATGCCTCCAAGAGAAGTTGCTTTGGTGTCTGCACACAGCAGAGCTGAAAATTTCACAAAGAAGGCCTGGAACCCAGACATCCGTTAGAACAGCAGTAGATGTGAGTGATGTTAATGCCTTCTGTAAAAGATCCATTTTCTAAAAGTGATTTGCTATATTTACATTATAGCAGATATTTTAGATACTACACAATTTAAGAACACAGCTCTGAAATTTTTCATCCCACTGAATTTCAGTGGGAACCATCAGACTGCAGTAGAAATGTATGTTTCAGTAATTTGAATGGAAGGAAAAGATAAATATTAGTAAATTACCAGTGAAATTTTGCAAACAAGCAGAAGCAAAGACACTGACACATCAACAGTACATCTAGAACATGGCAGTGAAGCTGCTACTTTTATGGTGGTAGGAGATAAAGAAAATGAAATATTTTTACAAAGAAAATGTTAAAAATTTGATTAAAAGCAATAGCTTTTCAAAGAACTGAGTTTCAGGGTTTTTCAGTATTGGATTCTGCCTAACTTGGAGATGGAGAAGAGCTAAAATAGGCTCTATCTCCTTTTTATTGAAAGAATTGAATGAGGCTTCAAAAATCCAGATGGAGCAGTGGTTGTGTACAGGGAAGGAAAAACTGTCAGAAGATACTGCAAGAATCTGTCTGACAACATCAGGAGAGCCCCAGGCTCTAGCCTGAGGGAATAGCGCTGGGCTCTTCAGATATTCCTTTTTTGCAGCACAGATGCATTTCACAGTGATTTTAAATGTGGAGATAGAATGAACACTTTCAAATTGAGTAATTAAAAATGTTGTTGATGCCTCATGTTTTCATTTTGATATGTAGATGTTGTAAATCTGTAAAAATAATAATATATATATATATATATATATATAAATTTTTATTTGCATTTGTGTTTGTCTTTGTCAAAATATAGCCTCAAAGTAAAAATACAGAAAAGGATTAAAAGGACATATCTCAAGGCCTCCTTACTTGTGAGTCGAAGGCTGATAAAAGCAGCTTCCAGCCAAGCTTTGCAAGTTCTGAGCTTCATTTTATTTGTTTTTTCTTCTAGGCTCCAGCTCCACAGTGCACTTCAGATTGACTTTTTGTAACACATCATAGCTACATGTATGTACAGAACAGAGCTGTTGGGAGCCACCTAATGAACAGAATTCAGATTATATTTCTTTAAGCTCTTTGCTGTTGAGAGATTTTCTGTAACATGTTTGATGTTGACATATGTCAAATCACACATCTGTCGCCTGTGCTTGGCAGGAGTCATGCTGCCAGACAGAATGGTCACAGGTTGGTGAGGTCAGCGTCAAAGGCTGCCTCTATGCTCCCCGTAACAGGACAGGAAATTTGGAGCTATCGATTTAAAACTGCATTGGCTTTAAACTATATTCTGTTTTACCAAGATTTCTTGTTCTCTGCTGCTAAAGCTAGATCAGAAGTGAGTAATTCATAGGAAGCAAATATCAAAATCAAGCCAAGAGT